TTGATGGTTTTTTAATTTTCTATGCTTCAGGATTTTTCTCTAGGTAATAGTTCATATATATATATATATATAACATTCTTCAGAAATTTAGAATCATTTTTGTAGTCATAATCCATTTATGCTTAGTTGTCTCACAATGAATGTATATTGTTGATGTATGCAAAATGAGACTACTTGCCATGTATGATCAGACTAAGACACTAGCAGCATAGTTAAATTAGTTTGCTTCAAACTTAAATAATGCATTTCAAGGAGTTAGGAAGCAAGTTTTGAATCATGTGGAAATTGGAAATGTTATGACTGGTGGAAAGTTTTAGAGCTGCAATGAAATTTGTTGACTGAGTGGCTTAGCTGATACAACTCAAATAAAAGAATACATTAAGAGAATTTCAAGAGGGTTATGTGTATTACAAGCCAAACTTTGATCTCTGATGTTGCCATCAGGTAATTTAAATAAAAGTGTGTTTAATTAACATAAAAGAATATAAAAGTGATTAATGCATGCAGGTGGCAGAGGATTGACTTTCACTACTACTATCAAGTAGTTAGCCTAATTCATTGTTCATTTATCATATTTGGTTCATGTCCATTTCAATGCAATAACTTGTGAGTTGGAGTTTTGTTTTTTTAAAAAGAAACTTCTGAGATTGATGAAATGCATTCAAGTGGGATGCTTATTATGTATGGATTGCGTAACCTACATTCCAACCAAATTTAAAATGTTAATGGACCCTACTTATCCATCCATCTATCTTAAACAAACACAAGAAATCGGGAACTAAATACTTGTGAATTGTTCTGGTTGAAGTTAAGAATTGTTCAGGTTAACCTAGTAGAACGATGTTATATTTTAACTCTAACAAAATCGTGTACTAAAAAGAACATGGATGATAAAACATCATGCTCAACCAGAACCCACTGATGGTTTTAAAACAGATCCTGAATAGGGAGAGAAAAAACTGACTTCGTAAAGAGAGAGGATAGAAGGATGATAAAACAACCTTAAAGTTGTATGATAAGAGTGATTAATATAACAACTCGATGACAACCGAAAAAATCCAGCCGACATAAGGATCACAAGCCTAATGAAGCTTCAGGTTAAAGTTTTATCTCAAAACCAATTCATAATAATAGGAGTAATACAAAAATATTTAAATCATTATCGAGATAAAGAGATAGACAATATGAGACTTCCCCTGAAGCAAGAGTTCTTCAATCTCAGTCTATCATGTCTCCTACAAATCGTTCTAGCCTTTTCTCATTTCTCAATGAAGGACAAGAATCCTTCAATTTACCCTAATAACCACCTTAATGCACGACCTTCCTTTTCAACATTGCATCTCAGAAAGCTATGTTTTGAATAAGGACAGTACTTTCTAAAATCATACTTCTTTGAAGGAATCTATTGTTCCTACATGAGACGTTCGTTACTATAAGATTCTGATTATGGTAATAGTCCTAAGTGCTTGTGATGATATAATTAATGATTAATAATACTTTACAATTTAAAATTAATCACAACCAGATTGTTGGAGAAAAGTAAACAATTAACTACTTTTATTATTTTATCCTTTAAGGAAAGTAAAAAATAACTTTTTATAAAGTATTAAACTTCAATTTTTAAGATCAACTTACTTGATTTATATTTCTTAGACAATATCATAAGCACACTTTTTAACACAATTTTTTTCCTCAACTCATACAAATGTTCTGGAGTTTTCTTTATGACTATTTTTCTTTAAGAAGTATTATAGCTGACTAATAAAGAAGGTAAATAAATAGTGGAGAGTTCAATATTTAATATATATATAGTATCTCTAAAATTCATTAATATATATCTCTTAAAATCCATGGTTTCTAAATACACACCCATAAATCAATTTATTCAACCTTTAGGTAACAAAAATAGACACTCAAAACTAAAATTTCCTTAGTTTGAAAAAGACTAAAACAATGACTCAATGATAACCAATGGGAGCTGGAGCCTCCTTCAATTCCTTTCCCTGATGGTGAATATCCTGCACCAAGTGGAAAAAATACAGAGTTCAGTTTCAGATGAAAGTGAAAAACAAAGTATATATTATCTAAGATGAGGGATCCACTTACTCCAAATTTACTATACATCTTAGCCATTAATTCTAAAAAATTTAATGGTTTATATCTACTCACTAATTCAAACCATTAGATTTCCAAGGAATTGATGGTTATGATGTGGATTAAGTATTATAAACTTATTCTTAGATTACGTGTTAGTGAACATTGTGAGAGAAAATTGATACTAACCGAAGCAAAGTGATTAACATCTCTATGGTGAGCCTCATCAGCACGAATGACAGTAACAACATCTTTGAGAGTTGCATCCTTTGGAAGTCTCCAGTAATCAATTGCAATAGCAGGAGCAGGAACATTTTCAACTTTACCACTCTCAATTGCATTCAAATGTTCTGTATATGAAATAACAGCCTCTTCTTCTAAATACCCAACAAACCTATGTGCTGTTTTTGGTGAGATGAGGTAAAACACAAAGAATCCATTGAAGAAAACACCTTGTGCAGTAATAACAAGAAGCCTCTCATGCCAACTTGGTTTTACAAGCTCCACCATGGTCATTAGGTGCATCCTTTCATTCTCTGCTTCCTCAAGCAATGCTTTGATCCAACCACCAGTTTGTTGAAACTTCCTAAGGGATTTTAGGTGTAGCAGCATCCCTCCCACCATTCCTGGAACTGCTGCAATTGTTTCCAGCATCATTGCATGACATCCATACCGCTCCTGAAACCATAGTTTACATGAATTTCAATTATCAAATTTCTTATATTTATCATTAAAGTGCAACTATTCAACTTGTGAATCAGTTTGGTACAATATACAACATGTGACTAATGATTATGTACCCCAAAAAATGCAGCAAAAATTGGCTTAATCTACATTTGGAACAACAATGTGGAATTGCATGACACAACAATGTATCTATAGTTCTATACAACTACAGTTGATGGGGAATTTCTTTTAGCATTCACCTTTCTTTTTTACACTCATCTACACTTTAGGATAAGCCTTCCATTATTGTTTTGTATCTTTCTGAAAAACTATCCAAAAATATTTGTAGTGTCAGATACCTTGTCAGAAAACAAATGGGGGCTAGCATTGACCACATTTAATAACTTTATCTTACAAGATTAAAAATTAAATTATATTTATCTCTCACTCTTTATCTCTTATTTATACAAACATCTTAAAACTTTATCTTTAGCTGTAGATAAAACATATTCCTTTTAAGTGAAAACAAGGAAAAGTGACTCAATTAGTCAAACACAGTTGTAAGATTCAAATCTTTCTTTTTTTGTTACAGTACAATTCTTAATAACTTCTTAGCATAACTTATTGAATTTATATGTAGGGTTGAACAAACCTTGAAGTACAAGTCTGAGAGAACCCTTAGAAACTTGACCGTCCTGAAAGCAAACTTGTCCCCAATCGTTTTAGGCTCGTGATGCTTGGTCACGTCTATTGACACATCTGCACGATATGAGTCCCATGGCTGCCATAGAAATCACCAAAATTATACATATATTTATTTAACTCGTGACCGCGAGATTATTCAAAATTTGAAACTCTTAAAATCCTTACCATGAAACAGTTCCATGGCCACTCAGTCCCATCATCTCTTTGAATCTTTGGCCTCGTGATCCCCCAGTAACTAGAAATAACCGCGTTGTTATTGTTGTTGATCTCTTTTTTCTTATCCTCTGAATCTTCTTGATCCTTTATATCCGGAACGGATGACATCTCCCTCCAGTACAAGTTTCCAAACGCGCCGCCACCATGCTGCTTGACAACGGCGGCGGTAGGGAAGTGGTGGTAGTTCCGGCCACCAGTGCCTAACAGAGCTCGTGCCGCTGACCTAACTAAAAGAATATTCTTCATGTTGAAATTTATGTCAATATATGAGTGATGAATTGGTTCAGAATTAATTGGAGACCTATTTATAGAGATAGATTATATATTTATTTTTTAGTGTTCAATTTTGACTTGGCCACAAGATAACGTGAAAGGTTGTAGAAGGATCCCCATAAAGAAGGGAAGAAGAGAGGAAGGTCACATAGCCAAGGGAACATTAGAACCTGTAATAATGGTATAACGTGAGATAGTTATGTGCCGTTAGATTGAATCATCGGAAGACAATTATTAATGTTGCGGTTGGACTATTCTTCTGTGCTGCTGGCTGCGGATTATTAATTGTTACTATTATTAGACTTAGACTTTAATCCTCTCAACTTCCGATTACAATTTTTGTGATGGTCGTATATTTAGGTTTTGGCTTTATATAATAGAATTGAAGAATAGAAGAATAGATAGATAGATATCATCTACTATTATATTGAATAATAATAATAATTTACTATTTACGAAACTTTTACCGTTTTCAGTCATATTTGATAAATATGAAATTATTATTATATGTTGAATGGTGGCTTTCTATCCTTAGGTCGTGACTCGTGACGAAGGTAGGTCAAAGAAGACAAAGTCAGGAGATTAGGTCAGAAAAAGAGACTTGTGTGGGGAATTTTAATTTTTAATTTACATGTTTAATAAATTATAAAATAAAGTTTAGGACTAAATAAAAGTGGAATTGGTAATCTCCTGCTCTACATTTTCTAAATAATTATTTGAAATCTGAACTCTAAATTATAGTATCATTTGAACTTGTAGCAAAGTAATTTAAATGAGATGTTCTAAATAGAGTCTCATTTTTTTGTTGTGGAATTAAAAATAATATATAATATTTTGATTGATTTGGAATATGAATCTCTGTAAAAAAAAAAAAAGTGAAAGAAGAAAAAGGGAACGATCACGAGATACTCACACGTTTGTTTTCCCTCACCGCGTGGATCGCAATCTCTCTGAATTTTCCACTCTTTTCGCTATATGGCCAAGCCTCCATTAGGTCACTTTTCTTATTATTTATTTTTTCATGATTAAACAATTTCTAATTTCACGTCTTTTACAATGCTTTCATCCTTTTTATTGTTTTCTCATGTAACGGCTATACATTACGGAAATGGACGAAATTTCCGTCCCTGAAAATTGTGGTTTAATGGATAATTATATGTTAAACACTAAACTTTTAATGCTCCATTTGATACGATAGAAATGAGTTTGAGAAGAGAAAGCGAAAAAAAATGCAGTCAATCTTGGATTACTTCTTTCTCCTCTCATGAGAAAAGGGTAGAGGAAGAAAAAATCACCTTATTTCTCTCTTTCCACTATCCTTTCTCAGGATTTCTCTCTTTTTGAGTTCTTCTTTCCGGGATAAAAATTGAAGCACCAGAAACTTGAGACTTAAATTAATGTTCTTCTTGTATCTGTTGTAATTGTTGTTTTTGCTTCTTGATCTTGCGGATGCTAGATCTTGCAATAAGCATGCCATCTATCTAAAGTAGTCATAGGATAATATAACAGTCATTAGAATTTTAAATTAGTAGCGATATTCAATATCACATCTCCTAAAGCAGAATAAATCAAAATTCTTATATATATATTATGTGTGAGATATTAACAAGTAGGTTTTTTATTATTAATACATGTGGATTCTTTGGCCATAGTTTGATCCTTAAAGTTTGCTTCAATCATTGTGCTCGTGTATGTGATGGGACTGATATTCGATGTTTAACTGAATGACATGTTATTATTTGTCAATTTTTAGACCATCAGCAATTACAGATGGGTAAATTGAATCTTTGTGACTTGTTTGTTGCAACTGGGTGTTTGTGAATTTATTTGACAACCTTCTAGGTGCTTATTGTTGAGGTAGGATTTGGCTGCCTTAACCTCATTCATATGAATTCATATTGTAGTTGGTTTCTGTTAGAAATAAGACGTGAATATTTAGGAGTATAGTAAGTAGCAATGAGTTTATTCCTCTTTTGTAACCCTATTTTTTATTATAAAGATCATATGTGTGAACAATGTTAAACACACGATTATCAAATCACACTAGTTTCTATAATTGGGCATAGAGTTTTATAATTGTTTCTTTTGTATGAGCTTAACAGCCTTCATTTCCAGCAGATCCTATTCAAATCACATTGATTCTGGTAATTCTGATATACTCATTTCATGGGCCTAATATTAAGTAACGTCCCAAAAGCGTTTTTTGGGACTTGAATTTGAATTATGTTGTATATTTTGAAATAACTTTTAGGTGACATGATTATGTGCTACTTGTTCAGGGAGCTAAAACTAGAGTACGTGATAGTACTTACATAGAAGGACAGAAAGCACATGGCATGGCATCATGGGACAATGTCATGGAACAATATGCAGGATTGCATACTGATCCAAATATCTAGGAAAAGTTTCTCATTTTGTTAGCTAAGGACAATTATGTAGCAAAAAGTTAGAAATCATGTTGATGGCAATAACCTATTCTTGTTTCCACATAACACAGTACCATTATCATTAGATAACTATGTAGACCTATTTCCGTGTACAGAATTTACACGTATATAAGGATTCAATTAGAAATACGAATCACGTATATTAGATCAAATGTATAGTTTGGCCAAAAAATTTATATTATTTAGGATTTGTTTTGAAAAAATAGATAAGCTGATTCTCAGAACACGTCAATTCCATGTTGGGCATGGTAAGTAAGAAAATAAAAATAAGAGCGTATAAATTTTTAAATATAACTATTTATAAAGAAAATGATGTAAAAATGATATAAAACTCTTATGTGCAAATATCATTTCTAAAGTATATGGATCCCAGTTGAATATTAACTTAATTAAATCGAATACTTCTTGCTTTAGAAATTAGAGTAATTTCCTTTAAAGGTAAAACTTGATCCCATCTTGAAAATATAGAAAGAAATAAAAAATTATGCCAGCATAGTAGTGTTCTACACTTTAATATTATTGTTGATTTGTATTACTTATTACTTTTGTGAATGTTGGTTGGTAAATATGGATAAATGATATGCTGAATTTTACATAAAAACACTTATACTATGAGTGATACAGATTAAACCCATAAAATAAGATTATGAATGTACAGACTTACTAATTGAACTTTTTTTATGGATCGGGTCAGAAAAAGAGACTTGGGAGCTAAAAGAGGATATATATATAAAAATAGCACAGTTCATCTTATGGGATGATACTGATCAGAAACTCTTCTTGGAGGCAGCTTTCGCAAAATGAAGAGCACTAATGCGGATGGAACAATCTCTACCAACTGTGTAGTACATAATAATCAAGAATGAGAGAACGATTATAAAAAACTGCAAGTCAAATAATGATTTCAAGCAATAGCAATGTGAGAAATCTTGATATTTTTATTAAACTTATGATCTGAATCAAGCACAACTTTTCTTTATATAACATAATATTGTATCTTCCTAAAGCTTCACCTGGCACTTAGTTAAGAATTAAGACATATCATGGTTGCAAAAACGATGTGTTTAGAGGATGTAAATGTTGGGATTGGTCTAAAGAAAACAAATTTAATTGGAAGTTTATTAAATTGTGATTTGTTGAGGGCAAAGGAAGTGGCACAAAGTGAGGCACATGTGATTTTTTCCATTAAAAATGGCTATGTAACTTGCCCAAAACGAACATTCTCATCACAATATTGGAAAAGAAGAGTGGGTTTAAGGATTAAGACATAAATAGTTCATGAAAGGTGGCTGCAAATTTTAATTTTTCCCTAAACTATAAAGCTGTCAAGTGTTTTTCCAGTAAATCAGATCAAATTTTCGTACACTAAACAAGGTAGTTCTATTGTTTTAGGAGAGCATTTTTAGTGTGCAATCACACAATTTACTCAATCAAATATCTCTGTATAATATAAAAATATTATTTTATATGTTTAGAATTTTTCTTTTAAGTTGATGACACTTTTTCATTAGATTGGGACATGAAATAGGAACGGGAATAAAGAGACCTGCATTGTATGTCAACTTTTTCACACTTGGGGGTGAATGTATAATGTGAGTTGATATAAACAAAAATAACATAATTTATTTATTTACTGACAATAATATATTTTAGTTACAGTTTTTTAACATTTGTATGTGAAAATATAAATTTTCATATTGAATAATTTCACTTTTATACTGAATCATAGTTAAACGACATTTTGGAGCTATATCTTCTTTTTTATTTTTAAAATGGAAGACTACGGTCATTTTAATAAGGTAAAGAAATTAAAGTTCAGCGCGCATCTGGTTCTTGCTGCTTTAATTGTGGGAATAACGAATAATAAGCGAATCTTTACTTGGATGGTAATGAGGTATGCCATGACAACAGGTTTTACTCATTTTCAACCAACAGTTTGGGATTGGATTCTCAATAATGTTTTTTTACAAGCTAGATTGTACCCTTTACCCCAAAAAAAGTTATAGCGATTTGTTATACAATTTTAGACTGAACATTAATAGTTTCTATAGTATCTCTCTTTTGTTAAAATAGTTATTTGATCCACTTCACTCTCTAATGTGACCAGTAAATCAACTAGCAATGACTTACACATACACATGTTAGTCTCATCAATCAACTCAGCATGTCACTCTCAAGCTTAAATATTACCATAGTGTTTTATTTCTTGAAGAGAGCCTTCATGACTTGATGAAATTTATGATTATAAACCCTTGAGATCTTAAATTTGAGTAGCAAAGGCTATATCTTGATGGAATAAAATACTACAATGATATTTAAACTTGAGGGTGGTACGCTTAGTAGATTCATAGAGTTAACATGTGAAGAATGTAGTATTACATAATATATATCTTGTATATGTAGTATGTACTTTTCCCATTATTTAATTACTACAAGTGTCTCCTCATTTTATACATATATAATGTTCAAGTGTGGCATTTTTCTTACGTGAAACTAAGCATAATTTTCAACTTCTGGACTGGGTTACATAACGTGAAGGTAAATGCATGCACCAAAGTGAAAGTTGGGAGCCTAATCTGAATTGCTTATGTTGTTCAATTCACCATGTGAATGAGAATCTGCAGAATATATCTTGATGCTACTTGCATGCTTGGCCTCTAGGGAAAACTACACTCCAAACAATGGAAGAAACATCTAAGTACAGAAGATACATAAAAGGTGTTTTATCTCAGACAAACAGTACTATGCATCGTTGCAAAAATATTTCTAGTTCTCAGCCTAGTGGTGAAGCAAAAGCACCATGCAGATGTTGCTCTATATGCAATAATATAATTAGTAGTTCAATTTTGGGTCATGAGAAATCAAGTGAATACTGTGGAATATGCTGTCAAGTGAAGAAAAATGGAACTAAATGGTTCAAACATGGATATGAAAACAGTAACAAAAATGGAAGTGTAGTGAGTAAGTCACTTTCTGCAGTGACTTTCCCACCATCCTTGCCTAGAAGATATAACAAACGTGCTGTTCTCTGTGGAGTTTCATATACAAAAAGGAAATTCAGGCTCAAAGGAACAACCAATGACATTAGTAACATGTGGGAGATGCTAATTAAGAATTTTAAGTTTCCAAATGAGTGCATAAGAGTCCTCACAGGTATGATCTCAATGAAACTCTAATCAAATATATTATACTTAGTATTTACATTTATTATCTTTTGGTTTGGGTTTATTCACTTATTCTTCAATGCAGTAATTTAATGTCCTATGGACTATACTATAGAAATTGAATGAAAATTTCAGTTGATAGTTTTTTTTGGAAGCTTTCTTACTATGAAAGCAATTGTTAATATCATCATTCTTGCATTACCAAATTGTTCCTTGACATGTATTTCATCTGCTTTCAAAAACATGTTCAGCTGTGCTACAAATTAATATCATTCCAAAACTGAAATGAATTGCAGAACAAGAGGCGAATGTCGATTTAATACCGACGAAACATAACATAGTGGAATCCTTAAGGTGGCTTGTGAAGGATTGTCAGCCAGGAGATTCATTGGTATTTTACTTCTCAGGACATGGACTGCAACAACCAGATTTCAAGGAAGATGAAATTGATGGGTTTGATGAAACTCTTTGTCCTGTTGATTTCTTAAAAGAAGGAATGATCATTGACAATGACATAAATTCTACAATTGTTTGGCCACTCAAAAATGGTGTCACACTTCATGCTATTATTGATGCTTGTCATAGTGGAACAATACTAGATCTTTTGTATGTTTATAACCGTGAAAGGTAACCAATGTTCCTTATTATTATGTTTTGCATTCCTAACCTTATTGCATACCCTTAAAAGTTACATAATTTGTCCCTTGTATGCTTTTAGTGGCACTTGGGAGGACAACAAGCCCCCTTCTAAAGAACCTATGAGAAAACATACAAGTGGTGGAGTTGCCATTTGTCTAAGTGCTTGTGAAGATAATCAGATAGCTGCTGATACTAAAGTAACAAATTTTAGATGTTTTCATTTCACAATACAATGTGCAGTTGAATATAGAAACTTGTTTCACTTGTTGAGTTTTGATCAACATATATACTTAGGTTTTTGGTGGAAAGGGAATGAATGGTGTTCTGACTTATCTTCTCACAAAAACAATAAGAGAATACCCTGAAATAACTTATGGATGTTTACTACAAAAGATGCATGATGAAATTAGAAAGATTAACAGAAGCAGATGCCATAACAGTATCTTGCAACATATCTTACGTAGTAAAATTGCACAGGTTCATTCCATTCTCTCATATTCTTATTCATCCAAATATTTATGCTTGTTGTATGTCCAACTCTTTCAAATTCTTATACATCATAACACTTCCTCATGAAGAAACTTAATAAATATTGCAGGATGCTCTTCTATCTTCATCTGAGAAATTTGATGTCTCTACGAGAATGTTCACACTGTGAGCATGCAAATTGGAAAAAAATCGTCTTGGGTTTAATTGATTGCAAGGACTTGAATTGTAGAACTTTTGTTGCTAAATTTTCTTATAACTTGGAACTGGATGAACTTTTATTATGTTTTTTTATTATTATGGATCAGTATTTATTTGTATTCAATTTCAAGTATAGCATGAAGTTGTGATACTGTACGGCTCACTTGTGCACAACGATTCCAATGTTATGAATGAACATGAGTACATATTGCAGAATGCTTAATTACCTCTGAATAAAAAATAAATAAATATAGGATAGATTAAGTTCTCCTGTAAAAAAATTGACATACAACTGTACATAATGCTTTAAATTGAAAGACATAATCACTTATGTATTTATAATAGATTCTTAAACATTTAAATAAGGTTATTACAATATATGAAACTATATTAGTAAATTTTAAATTATCTCAGAATATCTAGAAATAGTTAAACATATATAGTATTTCATATTATGATGATTGTATCTTAAATTTGATTTGTTATAATATTTTTGAAGATCTCTTATAATTAAGATTACTTTATCATATCATTTATTTTATTATCTAT